TCCTTGACCACCACCGCCACCACCACCACCACCACCACCACGACCACGACCACGACCACGACTACGACCACTACCACCACCACCGCCACCACTACAACAACCAGTACCGCTACAGCTACTGCAACGGCTACGACAACCACTACCACCAGAACCACCACTACCACTACGACTACCAATTAGCACCTACTCTGCCACGACCACCGCCGCCCCGCCGCCGCCACCACCACCACCACCAGTACAAGTACCAGTATTGCTTTACAATGACCAATATGATATGCTCACGCTACGAGGTCTTCGACCAAAACAACAACTGCATCAGAGTCCGAAAGAGGATCGTGATGGTTCCACATATTTTCAAAATGCCTTGCGGGCTGAGCTGACTCACTCCTTGTCATTTGGACAGCGCCTTTGGCGATGCCCACGACATGAGCAGCGGTTTCGCACAATAGCACGAAACCCCAAGCCCTGACCAAAATATATTCACTCTTCAGCCTCCTGGACATGCTGTACAAGTAAGAAAACGGAGAGAGATGGGACAAACCGAGCTCAAGCTCTGGATCTGAAGGGAAGCTGTGCCGCGCAGCCATCCTCAAGGCCTTCAAGACCCGACTAAAGCGCTTGCAAGGTCCGCTCTTCCTGTTACTGTTGCTCTGTTGCTCCCTGATCTCCGGGCACCGGGCCGGCTGTCATTCGAGGCAGAGGAGCTAGTGTCCATCCGCCTGTGAGAAACGACTGGGACTGTTTCACTATGCTAAGTCATGCAGCTTCCTTGCCTTCGGGGATCCTTGGGATTGGGCCGCCCTTTGGGCAGAGCCAAAGGCCTCAGAAAAAGGTCACAGTTTATGTTATAGGGGGGCCAACCAAAAAAGGGCCGAGGCCGACTCCCTCTGGGGCCCCCGGCGCGTTCAGCAGGGGGCTCCTGGACCGGGAGACGGAGGCCAAGGAAGCGGAGGAGCTCGGGCCGGAGGAGCGCTGATCGCCTCTGGGCTCTGGGCCCCAGGGGCCCGAACTCTCACCTTCTTCTTCGTTTTCGGGCACCTCGGCCCCCCGCAGCCTCGTCTGCTCTGGAGCTCCTCCGTCAGCTCCTCCTGGAGTGCCAAGCAGGCTTCGGAAGGCACGCTTTGTCTGTGGTTCTGAGTGCCTCTCTCCTTCACCGCAACAAGAGCGCTGATTTGCCGCTTCGTGGTTGCAACCTGCTCCGTCAGCGCAGCCATTTGCTGCTTGAGCGTGGCCACACGTTCCTGGACGAAGGAGTTCTCCAGCCTGTCCACATGAGGGTCTCAGCTCATGGTCAGAAAGGTGATGCCACCTGTGATGGCTGTGAGATGGGAAACCGCGAAAGCATAGCATGATGATAAGCTTTCAGAGTTTTACTCAAGCCCTCTCCAGGCCTGGATGGCTGTTTGGGAACCTGAAGAGGATTCAGAGCGCGGACAAAGCTTGAAGGCTCTACGATTTGTCGATGGTGTCTGCAAGCCTATACTTCAGGGATCTTCAGGGTTCAGGTGTCGCGCTTTAGAGCTTGAGGGTGGCGGAACTCTCTCATACTTTTATACTTCGGGCTGCCCCCACCTGGCCATCGTCTTTGAAGCCGTTGGGAGACAAGACATGGACCTGAAAGGAAGGGACTTGGCTCCCAAAGTGGGGGTGTTTTGGAGCACTTGTTGCCGGCTCCAAGAGCTTTGGCCCCTTATTTTCGGTGAAGACTTGACGCTTGCTCTGCAGCCTGTTCCGCCCAGTTCTGAAGCCTTTGATGGGCCTCGAGCCGCTCTGCAGAAAGCACAAGTCAAGGTTTGAGGAACCTGATGAATCTAGCCGAGAACAGCCTTTTTGTTCTGGCACCAATCCGAATCAAAGCTTTCAACCCTGACACCCATACCTGGAAACATGGAGTACGTGCCCTCACCAGTGGTGGGCAATCCAACAACATCCAAAGTCGTTGCTAGGCTACGCAGCCAGTTTGATGCAGTCACTGAAACCAAGGCCACGGCCAGTTTCTGCTCCATGGTGGCGAGCATGCATGCTTGGCCCTCGCGTCCCAACTCACCTGTACCTTGTTGTAAACATGCGCCCTGAGCACTAAAATGTCAAAAAGAATTCCTCTCGTGAGGACCTTACACCTGCAAAGCTTCTGTGTTTTTGACACACCGTTGAAACTGCCCTGAGGGACAGAACCTTACTACTTGTGGGTACACCAAGATCTCCAAGACACTGGGAGAGGCTTGTGCTTCCAGAAGGACGCGCTGAACGAGTGCCTTGCTGCTTTCCGGAATGTCCCACACCTGCACCAAACTTTTGAGCACGAGTACGACGTGTCTATGCATGTACGGTTCTCAAGGTGCTGGTGGTTGGGAAGGCTACATTAAACGGGCTAGCGGAAATCCGACGGACATTGGCACGTTTTGGACATGTCGAGGAACTGCGCTTGACAAACCCCAGTGCCTGACTTCGCAGTGCAGTGATTTCTTGGGTGTTTTGACGGTTGATGCGGTCGATCTTGTCCAGCAAAGCCTCGCAACTTGTTCACAAGACTCGAAGGGACTGTTGAGCATCACCTTCCATCGTGTGCAAATCATAGTCCCAGCAGAGGGCCGCCTTTCTCTCCGTCTTCTGGATCCGAAGCTCGGCCAGATCACTGCCCAGCAGCTCCCTGCAGCGCTGCTGGAGCATCTGTTTGGACTTGTCCAGTTCCATATCCAGCCTTACCACTTGCGCTGCAGCTTATGTTCAAGAAGCAGGAGACCCCAAACCCTAAATCCCAAAAAAAGACCGCCCAGAAACTGAAACCTAAAACCAGAAAACGATAAACCCTAAACCGGTTGAAGCCACCAACGCAAAAAACAATGTCTTGTTCACCCTGTGCCGCTTCTCGAGAAGTGCCATCCGCACGAAGTTGTCTCCTTCCAAGGTCGGGATGCTGGCTTCCAGGACGTTCAGGATGCGCATGGCCGACCTGAGTTTCGGGTTAGGGTTAGGGCCGGTTAGGGTTTAGGGTTTTGGGTGGAAGGGGCCAGGAAGATTGGTGAAACTGCGGCCAACTAGGCTGCTCTTTTGCGTCGCTGGTTCTCGCATTGTGTCTTTCTCTTTCTGTCTGTGTTCCTGCCTGTTTTCGTTAATTCGTCTTCCTTTTATCTACCCTTCTATCTTCTATCCATCCCACAATAATCCAGCGGAGCACGCGGGAGAAGCTGAGCGAGGCTAAGTCGAAAGGGAGTAAACAAGTTGAACAAGAGTAGTGAAAAGAGATAAGTTAGGTGCAGGAAACCCTTCGACGGGGGCAATCAATGAGTACAATGGGGGGGCATATGGCAAGAACACACCGTTCGACAGGGATTTCAGGCGTTGAGGCAAACCTTTCCCATAAAACGAGGTGGCATACCGAGGAGACGCGAGCAAAGCTTTCCCAACGGACCCTCTCGAACCCCTGCAGAGCCTTATGTAGAACCCCAAGAAGAAGATCTGGAGAGCTAGAGCAACTTGAGAAGTTAAGAGAAGGGAGTGAACCGATCACCCCTTTGAACATCATGTCAGCATCTCTTGCCCGTTTGGAGCATGTCGCTGTCCTGCCTCAACTTCTCGTTATCAGATCCCTTGCATACCCTATGCTCCAACCTCTCTCTCAGTGCTAGTCCTTTCGAACGGCTTCATTCCCGCAGCCGACTTCTGTCAGAAAAGGTCAGTGAAAGCTGCACTGTGTACATGTTTTCCCCCGGTGAGGTGCAGGCAGCTCCCTTACCATCCCCATGTCAACATGTGGGAGAAGCCCTTTGATCGCATCTTGTGCTGGCCAAGCCGCTCCTTCTGCAGCTTGGCAATTTCTGCCATGGCCTGTGCCTCAGACTGCACGGCATTGCGCAATCATTGCACCGCTGTGGCACGGTGCACCGGGGTTTAGGGGCTAGCTAAACAGCAAGCTGGGGAAGCAGGTGGCTCAAGCTGCTTCCACGTGGCACGGGAAACCTCTTGGCCGGTGAGGGAATCCTTAAATCCCGCGGTGGAGCTCCACTTGTTGCCCTGCTGCGACTTCGAGTTTCCTGACGTGGACAATGCAGGGCAAGGCGACGGGCCCGGTGTGCAAGAGCTGCATGCCGTATAGGGCTCGGCCACTACACCTAAAACCGTCTACGACCTGGTACAGTGCGTGTTTGGACCAGCGGAGCGGAGTCTCGTTCGTTATACGAATTCACTGCCAAGGCTCCCCAGGCCATCGTGGTCGACACAAAAGCTCGGTCCTTGGCACTATTGCGGGAGACAGTGCTCATCGAACAAGCGCAGGAAAGCCCGACACTCCAATCCAACCACTGCACCTGGTTTCTGAATCTTTGACTAGACATACTAGACACTAGATAGAAGCTGCCAGGAGTCCAGGTGCTTACGCTGGGCGCCGGCCAGGCTCGAGGGGCTCGCGGCAGCTGGGGAGCTCGTGGGTGAGGCAACCGGGGAAGCTGGCGCCAGGATAGCAAGCGCTCCGAGAGCAGGGGCCACCGGAGGCTTTGCCGGCGTGGAGACGGAGGAAACCCTGCGTGCGGGCAATGCCATGCACGTATCCAACCATGCACTCCGCTCCGCTTCTTGCCTCGGTCGGGCTGCCGCAGAGGACGCCGACGTTCGTGAACCCTTGCGATCCTCCTGAAAAGCTGGGTAAGCAAGACAGCATAGCACCTGCCTACACGTCTGGCAGGACCTGGCAGCTATCGCCAGGTCGAGTCTAAGCTGTCGCTCAAGCAGAGCTGGTCAGGGCACCGTCTGCGAGCGCTGGAGGTCATCGTCGTCGTCTCTCTCATCGCGCCGGGAATTCCGCAGGCCTTCGGTTCACAGATCGCAGGAGCAAAGCAGAATCCAAGCAATTCAAAATCCAAGAAAGCCACAGCTTAAGAAGCGAGTTGCCATCGTCGTCCAGGGTAGGCGACTTGCCGCGGCGCTCCATGCACGCTCTACTTCATCTCGCAGTATCCATCTGTTGGGAACGTTCAATCTGCAGCACAAATGGCAGAATGATCACTAAAACGCCGTAGATGGAGTCTGAGCAAAGGCCCTGATGGCCATAGCCTAGAGCTGACTGAATGAACAATTCGATCCTTGAACCAAGCACTCTTGGCTGGAAGTCCTTCAAGAAGACCCGGCAGAGCTTGGAAAACAAGGCTCGGAAATCCTTGCCGGGTAGGAGACTTGCCTGAACACCGACGCTCAACTTCGTCAGGTTCAGGGCCTTCAGCGCGGCCAGCGCAAGCAGAGGGCGGGCCCCGCAACGCCGTTCGAACGGAGATCACTCAGGATGCGACCCGTCCAGCAATCGATTGGTCCTGCAGACACCCCAAAAGAGACGACCACGCCGAACATGCGGGTTTGCCCCGACACCAACTTGAGCTGTCCGGCATAGAGATGCGGCGGATACCGTCGAGGGCCATCACGGAGCCGGCAACTTAGTATACAGTACAGTTATATCGGCAAACAAACTGCTGGAGTGCCCCAAGACGAACGCTTGCATCGGCAGGAAAACATGACATGCTCTCTCCGACATCCGACATGGCATGCCAAGAGCATCCGGCCAGTCAAGGCCAGGTCGTTGGCAGTGACCACCTGCTCCACCCTGCGCAGGCACCACAAAGTGCCGCCGTAAACCGACAACACTCTGTCCCAAAACCGCCCTATCCTTACCTCCAGTGCTTCCTTGCTAGGACTTGATTTGGAGTATTGCTGCTCTGTGTCCGTCAGTGCTCCAAACTTAATCGACTGAACTTGGCATGCTGAGGCCAGGACCCTTCGATGAACTGAAAGGGCTGGGCATCATCTGCAAAGCCCACAGCACGGCCAGTGACCATGTACTGCGTGATCATTCCTGCTCAGAAACAGCACATTACGATCAGTGGCACCGGGACTTCCGCTGATGATTCTTTGATGACACTACTACGGATCAAGCTTAACTTGCACTTGTGTCAAATGATGTCTGAAGTTTCACTCGTGCCTGCATACACCCCAGTACATACTTAGTGCTCCCGCTCGCGCTCCCGCCGAACCTCCTCCTCCTGCTCATCCTGCCTCCTCCTCCTGCTTCTCCCGCCTGCTCCTCCCGCCTGCTCCTCCCGCCTGCTCCTCCTGCCTACTCCTTCTGCCTGCTCCCCCTGCCTGCTCCTCCTGCTCCTCCTGCTCCTCCTGCTCCTCCTGCTCCAGCTGATGCTGCTGCTGCTGCTGCTGCTGCTGCTGCTGCTGCTGCTGCTAGCTGCTAGCTGCCGGTGCCTCTGATAGTTCCCGCGCAAGTCATCCGCTTCGCGGTATTGTCCTATTGCTTTACATGCGCCAGGTCCCAAGTCTCTTCGGGTCCCTCCAAAGGTCCGGATGCCTGCGAAGGCCAACATAGCAAGGCGGCCATTCTGCACTTCCTGGCCAAGTGAAAGGACACGCAAGTCTACATCTGCGATGAAGAGATAAGGTGCGAGCAACACTACAGGTCGTGTCTCCCTGGATGGTCCTTGTACTGCTTCTCTGCCAACTCTTCGACAGTCATGTCCCAGCTCATCTGATGGGCGATCGCGAGAGAAAGGATGAGGAAAAGTAAGAGTGAGTTAGCGATCAGGTTGGCGTTCGTGGACTTGCGGCAGAACTGATGAACCGGCGGATGCCTTCCAGCCGTTGGTCATCGGGCCGGCACCGAGACCCAGGTCACCGGCGATAGCATCCTTCGCAGCTTTTGAGCTGTCCAAGTCATCGAAATTGGAGCTGCTACACACGGCAAGTCCTGGTTGATGAAGAGACGATATCCACGGAACGCCTGCGGTCACGAAGCACCAAGCAACGGAAGTCTGACTACGGATCGAGTCACAATCTGAGCCCACCTCCAGGAGGGCCATCATCTGAACTAGCTCCCATGTGGAAGCAGAGAAGGCCTGCTCTGACGGCATGACTCCTGGCAAAGACTCGCGATGTCATCGCGGACACGAAAGGATGCTAGCAGCTGCCAGTTCGAGATCTGATGCACTTCACCAGGGCCTGGGAAGGATGAGTCGACGATGACCTGCAGCACGCCACTGATTTGGTGGCGAGCCGTCCCGCTTCTGAGATGCCACGCAAAAAGAAACAGCAGTTTGCTAAGTTTGCTGATCGGGTCCTACGACATCCGCCACGTGCTTTGGGGCCTTGAAGACGGCGAGCATAGACACGCGTCCATGCATCAGCTCGGCCTCTGCAGCAAAGCCAGTGATCTTGACCAGCACATGGACTTCTGCGAAAAATCAGCCAGGAGCCTCCCGGTACCATCGCATCGCGTCAAACTCAACCCCGAAGTTCTCGAGCACCTCGAGAGTTCACGAAGTCACCGACCCACCCTCGGAGCTTGTTCCCAAAGCCAACAACTAGTCCAGCGAAAGCCGGGAGTCTGAACGTCTGAACACTGTCTGAACCTAAATAAGCGGAAAGTTCTCCTCAGATTTACTAACGGGCCTGTGGCAGATTTACTATCTCAAACTGCAAGGGCGTGGTGGGAACTTTCGGCCTCGTTAATGTACTCATCCGCACCGAACCTGGTGGAGGGCAGGGCAGAGACGGCACTTTGGCTTTGGCAAGTCCAACGGACTCCAAGCTGCTGCTGTCGCGGTCTGTAAGGCTGTTGCCCGAGCGGGTCAAACCCCAAATCGCCGACCAAGCTTGGATTTGTGGGGTTGTTCCTTGCAAGACTTCCCTACTGAGCTGCACCTCTCTTGCCACGGTCACAAAGCATGTCCTCAAATGCGCGGGCACCGTCATGAACGGCAATGCCTGCGACATGACCTCAAGGCAGAGAAGATCATGGACGACCCGCGGCTCCCTACCTCTTGCAGCACACTAAGGCACTAAGGCATTCGCAGGCTTCTTCTCGCTATCCGAAGAAACTACTGCCTTTTCAGCATGGCGTGCAAAGGCTCAGCAAGACTGAAACAAAGACTTCTTCAGCCTGTCGGGCTGCTCGCCCTCGCCGGGACGAGGTGAGAGCCTCAGCCGATGTCTTCGTTCAGTCCCTCCATTTTGAGAAACGCGGTGAGCTCCGGCAGCTGCCAACTTCGGAAAACAAGTTCCAGAACATGGAGGATCAATTCCTGAAAAGGCGAACCGTCAAGAATGCAACTGCCAAAAACAGGATAGCAACGGCTGCTTGAAAAAACTCCGGCAGAAATACACCACCCTAAACCGCAGATCTCATCCCCCAAAGCCCTAAACCCTAAACGTCCTGTCCGTTGTCCGAAACGAGTTTCTGAATTCACTTTCCGATCGGAATTCCTTTCCCGATCTCCGAAGTGTTTCTGAAGCCCCATCGGGACACATGCTGTGTCCGACAAAACAGGGTTTAGGGTTAATCAAGGACTTTCCTGAGCTCCGCGCTGCTGCTGCTGTGGCACACACGCTCAGTGCTGCCAAAGTTCGGCCTGGGGTTGTGCTTATGGAGAAACACAGCGGCGAACTTCGAGGCAGAAGCCCTGTCCACCACACAACCCATGCAACACCTTGCACTTTGACTGTGCATACCCGGATCCCGCGCCATGCGAATTGTTCGTCGGGGTGTCGGTGGACCTCCAGCCAAAGGCAAGAACCGGCCATGCAAAGCTGCACGAAACAAAACGAAATCTGTCGCAGCAAGCCTCCGTCGCAGAGATGTGACAGGACGCTTCTCAACAGACGAAGCCGACGAAGGAGCAAGGAAAGCCTGTGTCACCGAAGAGGTGTGTTCTCCAACAAGGATGCATGAAAGAGCAAAAGCAACTTGCTGCCTCCCATCCCACTGTGGCTGCCAGAGTTGTCGTGGCAGCGGCGGCGGCAACCGCTGTTGTGGTAACTTGGCAACGGCACCATGCGCAGACAATCGTTCAAGCTTATATAATGTGTCCGAGATTTCCCAAGTCGTCTAGTGAGCAAAGCAGCCGCTTCGACCAGTCATCGCCCGTCCTCCTTGTAGACCTGCCCAGATGCGTATTCATGCTCTCTTGGAACACATGACATGGAGGGCATCTTGCAATTGGCGTGCTGTACCAAAGATCCTACAGCTCAGGGTTTGCATGGCGCAGCATTTTCGGGTTCGGAGATTGACATGCACACGCAGCACCCGCCTGTGCAGCTACGCACGTCCAAGACGGGTTGCAATTTGGCGAACGCTGAGCCAAATGGCGGCCACCAGACTTTGAGCAAAGCTGGCTGTAGCCTGCACATTTCAAAAGACAGCTGGTCCGTTCATGTATCTTACAGAAATCGCAACCGTCATGACGACTTCTTGGTGGAGCTAGGAAGAAAGAGTTTCCGTTGTTGGCAAACAATGAGTACACTCATCGAAAAGGAACATCATACATGAATAGGGGGCAGCACAACCCGAATTTAGCAACACGTCTACAGGGTTTAGGGTTTTTGGCCCCCCGTGTATCAGTTCGGGGGGAACTTGGTCTTGACCCAGTGCAAGCCGGACTCGGACTTTGATCTGATAAGAACTTATTTCCTTCTGATTCCTGTCGCCCTAAAGATATGAGGGCATTCCGAAATATAATATAGATGCAACAATATATATTGTTGTAGCAGTGTGAAATATGGTTAAAAGCAAAAATGCTCTCAGTCAGATTGCGACATGTCTGAGTCGCAAGAAGAAGCACCGATGATCCGTGCGCCGAAACTCGAGTACATCGGTCCCTCGACACCCCACGCATTATTTCATCCACTTTGTTGGTTCATCCTCCAAATGTCCATCTACTCGCAAGAAATGGACTTTTCGATGGCAAAAGTCTCAAGTTCCAACAAACACGTCACAGTCAAATGCTCATAGGTTAGGACAATTTGAAGTTCGATCCAAAAGCGTGGTCTTTTCGTGCTTTCCTATTTTTTAAAGCATGGTTTGAGTCTTCCTCTTCCAGACAGCGTTTGAAGCCAAAGGTGAGGAAGAAAAGTACCGCAGAGGCGCTACACAAAAGGACACCACCACATTCTGGACTCCGACCTGAAACTGGGCCCGTGGAAAGGCAGTTCAGAATCAGAGTCTTCTTGATTTTTTCGAAGGACCGGCAGAATTCGGAGCCAAATGAAAAAACTTAACTCAGGTCCAATACATGTACGACAGTTTCTAATCGTATACACTCTCTTGCATGCAGCACTTCAGAACACGCACCAGTCTTTTTCCAGATGGGGGAATGTCAGAATCCATCCTTGTGGTGTCATCGCGGTCCCACTTATTCCAGCAAAGCAAGCTTTGGGTTACTGGAAGCGGAAAGCATTCTCCCTTCTGTTCGGGCATGTAAAAAGTTGACATATGTGAAACTCATAATCCAATATATTTCCGAAATATAAAAAGAGGTCACCAGT